CTCCCTCTCTCTCTGCCCCTCCCCTGCTTGCTCGCTTGGGCTCGCGCGCGCTCTCTCTCTCTCTCTCTCTCAAAAATGAATAAACATTAAAAAAAAAATTTTAAGTTCCTTACTAAACACTGACAAATCAGGAGAAAAACCTCATTAACTGATACTTTAGTTACTCTGAAACAAAATGATCTAGCTCTAAAAATGATTAAAGCCAAGGTAAAGTACATATTCTATACATGGGCTCACAAGTATTTACTTCTATTTAAGCTACAAATCAATACTGTCCAACAAAAGTTCTCATCCTGCAATCCATGGAGCCAAAGAGGGCAATAAAAATTATTAGCATCTAGTTAAATAATACAAACAATAAGTAACTTGTATTTACAGAACAGATTTTCAGTTTCTCTGAGACCAAATGCCATAAACTGAAGGAGGCAGTGTATGGCTCTGTAGCATCACCTGAAAAGGTGTGAATGAAGTATGTGAACAGGCATGATTTGACCTTGACATAAAGGTAAAAATGGCTCAGAAAAATTAGGAGTTAGGAGACTCTAGTAACCTTTCTGAGAATCAGTAGTCTAATTTGCATTGAGGTATCAGGCTGTATCTCTCAGGTTTCATGCAGCTCACAAATGCTGCTACTTAATGCTACTTAAGCATCATTACATTATTCCATAACTAGAAACCCATTATAAGCCACCATAAAGCATGTTTAGTATATTGTGGATTCAGTTACCCTGAGTTAAAAATCACATTTTTCATGCATCCAGTGATCTGTAACAAATAAAGAACCTATCCAGTACAGATGGCATCTTTGTTCTCGGATAACAGCATTAGAACTTATTTGCAAGATATATGCTCAGTGCCAAAAAAGCTAAGATTAAAATTTAAGCTGCTTTTAACACTGAAGAGTAAGGATTAACTAGTACTTTATAAATATCTTCTATAATTCTTAAGATTCAGAGAGAGCAAAAAAACAAAATGGTTAAAAAAATAAGGCAACAATTCTCCCATGCCCCTTCCCAGCTTCTTTATTTTCCAATAAAAAAAAAAATATATTCCATTAATTTACTTCCTTCTAAATGGTACTGATAGTTTATCTGATGCAGATAGCATTTTTAATAGTCTTGAGTGGGGTTTCTATACTAAATTAAGATTCAAAGGTAAAACCTACATGACTGAAAAGTCATCCTAAAATTTCAGAGCTGGAAGTTCTGAGATCAACTAGGTCAACTTCTATTTAGGTTGGGTACCTTGTTCAAATAAAATCCTACCCAAAAGCTCAATTTGCAAAATTGTTTTTCTAGAAGAGTAGGAAACCCTAAACCTTTCTGTCCACTATTTTCCTTTCCTATTCCAACAGAATTAGAAAATTACTAACTTGGTAAAATCCTCTTTGCATGCCCTAGATGAGGAAACTAACTGGTAGGCCCAAAGAGGGTAAAGGATTGACTGACCCCAGACGACTCTGTCAATATCCCATGACAAATCTAGAGCTTGATAGCATAAATCCTTCTTTAAAGATCATGTTAATTCAATTCAAATTGAGGGGCACAAACAGAAGGTTGTAAAAGAAATGCAGTAATTGTTAAATAATGTTTTAGATGTTTGTTTATTTTGAGAGAAGGAGGGGCAGAGATGGAGGGAGAGAAAAATACAGTAATTTTTAACGAGCTTCCAGAAGTCAATTAACGATTTTAGTTTCTCAACTAAAGAATGACCCTAGTTTCTTAAAAATATGGAGAGTGAACACCACCCTCATTCCTGGTCTTTACACCAGCACTGGATGCTATGCTTCGGTAGAACAACAGTTCCCTTACTATTTTTTAATTAGGTCTGCTATGTGGGCCAGGTAATTTTGAGCCCTTGTTTTAGGATATCCCGAAGTATCTTAAAATAAATTGGTGGGGAGGCTGGGAAGAAAATGAGTTAAATGTTGGAGCGTCTGGGTGGCGCAGTCGGTTAAGCGTCCGACTTCAGCCAGGTCACGATCTCGCGATCCGTGAGTTCGAGCCCCACGTCGGGCTCTGGGCTGATGGCTCAGAGCCTGGAGCCTGTTTCCGATTCTGTGTCTCCCTCTCTCTCTGCCCCTCCCCCGTTCATGCTCTGTCTCTCTCTGTCCCAAAAATAAATAAACTTTAAAAAAAAAAAAATAAAAAAAAAAAAAAAAAAGAAAATGAGTTAAATGTAATTGCAGCAAATTCCAAATTTTTTAAAAGTAAGCTCTATGTGCAACATGGGACTTGAACTCATGACCTCGAGATCAAGAGTCACATGCTCTACTGACTGAGCCAGCCAGGCACCCAAAATCTAAATGTTTTATATTTATATCCATCTAAAACATAGGATAACACACAGACTACTTTATTTCATCTCAATAAACTAACGTCAATTTACTTTAATATTTACCAAGTAAATATTTATTGTATATATGCTATATATAGGTAACATGGAAACAGTGGGGAACAAAATGAAGGGGTGGGAAGTTATAACCACCCAAAAAAAGAATTTATGTAAGTCTTTCTTACCCTTTTCACTTCAGCAGAAAAACAGTTCTCTCACACTTTATAGCTAATGAACCAGTACTGTTCCTATGTACCAGAGTCTACCACTCCTAAAACAAATTTACTCTTTCCCCACCCTTATCCAATTACTACTTTCTGCATTAGAGACTACTCCCAGAAGCCACCCGGTATTCTTGGATGCCCTCCCCAACCAGTTCAACCAAGCTTTCTTCCTTAAAGCCAGATCCTGAAATATCATCACCTCTCCCAGGAAGCGTTAATTTGAAAGCCAGGTTAATCTCTCTTTAGCTCCACCCAGTTTATAACTACAACTCTCTCTGCACTCAACATCTTATAATAGATGCCTATTATTGTGCTCACAATTTCATTTATTCATGTGCTTATTCAGTGTATTAAGCATTGCTCTTGTTGGTCTAGATCAGTACTGTTCTTAAAAAAATTTTTTTTACATTTTATTTATTTTTGAGAGAGAGAGAAAGAGAGACAGAGCACACGTGGGGGAGGGGCAGACAGAGGGAGACACAGAATCCAAAGCAGGCTCCAGGCTCAGCTGTCAGCACAGAGCCCAAAGCAGGGCTCGAACCCATGAACCCTGAGATCATGACCTGAACCGAAGTCGGACGCTCAGCCGACTGAGCCACCCAGGTGCCCCAGCACTGTTCTTAAATAAAGGCTACCAGATAAAAGGGTTTAGCACTGAAAATGCCAGATGCTTAATGCTTTTTGAAAATTATTTTGAATATGTTAAATCCAACCTGATTTGTGAAATTTCTAAAACCTCCCAGCATGGATGAATCTGAAGAGCATTATGCTAAATGAGAGATGTCAGACACAAACGACCTCATACTACTGTATGACTACGTGTATGTGAAATTCTAGGTTAAACTACAGGGATGGAAAGCAAATCAGTGGGGGCCAGGAGTGGAGAGGTGTGTTTAAAGGCAAAAGAAAAGGTGTTTAAAACTTTGGGGCTAATGCAATTGACTTTTTATTTTGAGGGAGAAAAAAACTAGACAATGTAATAAAATTCTTTAAAAAAAGGGAGGGAGGGTGGGGAATAGGAATCACTTAAAATCTTCCATCATGTTGGATTTCACATTATCTACCTTATAAAATAAATGATTTATCACTTACAACCAAAAATATCTACCAGCATTGGAGATTTTTAAGGATATAATACTATCCTTATTACTCTGATTGTTTCCACATCTGAATTAATGTATGCAATCCAGTCCTTAATTCATAAGAAATATAAAGTGGAATAGAAAAAGAGGTTACAGTGACTATGATTCCACTCAGTTTTTAGCTCTCTCTGGTTCTTTCTGCAATGTTATTTTTGAGTAATTGCTGAAAAATGGCTTGGCTTTAAACAATCTGGCCTCTGTTCTAGGTAGATACTCTTTAATCTCAAAGTCAAATTAACAACCTTTAAAGTTAACCATTTTAAAAAACCCCAATGCCTGGTCATCTCGTATCCTGATCACTATTACCATTTGCCTTCGCCAGTATCCTATCCCCCAAAAGACTACAATTTCCTCGATGTGAGGAGTTACCGACCAAGTAACTCAACAGGTTAAAGCTACTTACCGCACTGTGGTTATGTGATTAATCTTCCTTTTAATACAACTGATATGAGTCCATTTCAATACAGTAGTGCTCAAACTGCCTTTGCCATTACTCATAAAAATTTAGTGCACAAACTGAAACGCGGCTAACATTACCCTTCGTGAAAGAATAATTAACACTTTTAAAGGGACTATGAGGGATTCCGCATAGTATAATTGAACAATTTCACGTCGCATCTGCTGCAGAGATCACAAACAGACTGTCATTATGCCATCCCCTTCCTTGGACCCCACCGCCGCCTGCAGCTTTATTCTTGGCTTTTCAAAGGTTTAATCCACTCAGGGCTGCTAAAGGGGGAATCAAGGAAGGGTCACTTGTGAACCCCAGCATAGAAAAGGGCAGGAATATGTGCTTGAGTCACGTCGTTCCGCCATTTTCTAAGCGGAGGAGGAAGACATGTTGGAACAAAAACACAACAAAAGAGCAGCCATTTCCCAAGCCAGCTCCAATAGCAACCCGAACTGGCCGAACCCGGTCACTTGGCAGCTTCAAATCCACTTCCCTGGATAAACCTAAGAACATCAGAGGTGCCGGCGCAAAGAAAGCAGCAGACAACCCTTCCGCGTAGGGATCAAAGACGACCCGCACACTTAACTGCAAATGAAAGCCTCGGGAAGAACGACGGAAGCTAAATGGAGCACAGTGTAACAAAGTGAAATTCTACGCGAAGTTGGCAAACTGAAAATGTACTCAGTGATTGTGGCGTCTCACGGTTCACAGGAAACCACCGGCTATAGTAAACCCAGGAAACTCAAACACCAAGGCCCGGATCCAGCCGGTGCTCCTACCTGCCTCTACCCATTTCCCCCATTTCCATACTTCCCTCCGTGCGCCGCCTGTTTGCTTATGGGTTCTTACCGTATGTGGGGGATGCCCACCCCACCTTGAAGGATCTTATAGAGTTTGCTCTCGTACAGCAACTGGGGATGCCTGGCCTTCTGAGATTCTAGCTTCACTGCCACTTCCTGCAGGGGAGAGAGGGGACGATGGCATCAACATCCCTAAGGATTCAATGTCACTTGGGAAAGGAGGGGAGACGTTAGGAAAGCTCCGACTCGAGACTACAAGGGGAAGTACGAGGCCCAGAGAAAGCTCTCTTTCAAATTATAAAACGAGGCAACCGGCCTCAAAGGCCTCTTCAGGGGATAGTGACGAAATCGGCACGTCCTCGAAGGTGCAGGAAAATGATTCATCCAGAAAACGTAATGAAAGGTTTAGAAGGAAACTGACGATCGCAAGCAAGAACCCCAACAAAATAAATCCATATAGAGAGAAAAACACGGGGATCCCAGAAATACGGTTTTGCCGTTCTCACCTTAAACGACGGCTTAAAAAAGTTCGATTAAGGTGCATTTTCAACAAGCTGGGAAACTTCATAGTTCTCCCAACCTTTCTATCGGGTTCTTTGCCTTTTAGGGAAAGAGAGCGGGGGAGGTTCCTAAGCCGGGAAAACTGGCTCCCTCTGGACTCCCCTCCCCAGTACGTGCGTGCGGTGGGGAAAGGCCTGAGCACTTTGGGGGTTGGGGTGGGGAGTGAGGGCTGGCGCAGCGTGGTCGTGAACCCCACCCCAGTTGATTACCTCGCCGTTGGTAATGTTGATCGCCAGATAAATGTCCCCGAAGGAGCCAGACCCGATCTTCCGTACCAGTTTATATTTCCCTCCGACAATGAATTCGGCCTTGGAGCCGCTGCTGCTCGCCATCCTGAGAGACGAAGATGGAGGCTGGGGCCAAGCCCCGACACCTCTGAGGGGAGAACAGAGGCCTCTGGGGCTCGTCCACTGAGCAGGCTGCGGAGGAGGGCGGCAGGAAACGGCAAGCGCTGACTCTTTCCAGGCGTTACAGGGCCGAGACTCGGTCAAGGGGAACCTGATCACCGCCGCTCAGTCCGGCTTCTTTTTGCCAGGCCGCAGTTTATGAGGGGGTTCTCGCGGTTACCAGGCTGGGCCACTTGTTCCTGGGCGGCCGCCGCTGCCTCGCTTTCACGGCGACGTCGCGGGCTGGAAAAGGGGCGCGGTGGTTTAGGGCGGCGATACCGCTGCCACCACTGCCGCCGGCTCCCGCCCGGAGGGACTCCTGTCACTCCGCCGACGCCGCCATCTTGTTACTCCGGCTCCAGCCAACACAAAATGCCCCCAGTCCCCGGGAGCCGCTTCTTCACAGCGCAGAGCACTCTGGGAAAGGGATCTCAGGCGCTAGCCCCGGAGGGTCGGCAACCAGAGGGAGGGCGGAACCGGATCCGTGAGAGTCGCGGCCCACGCTTCGAGCGTCACCCCGTCACCGCCCAACTGCGCCTGCGTAATGCAATCCTGCTGCTTGCGCAGGCGTGCAACGGGCTCTCCTCACCCCCGCCCGGGGCTCACTTCCACTTCCGGTTGTTGGCTCGTCCAACCTTGCTACCTGTTAAACAGTCACGTCGAACCCGCCTGGTGTCTGAGAGGTCCCGTGGCCCGCGGCCTCGAGAGCTTGTGAGGGAGGAGTCACCTTCGTTTTTCGTGGAAGATGGGAACTTCTGCCCTCCTTGGGAGTTGGGTGCTGACCTTTGCTCCTTATCTGAGGCCCTTTTTTAACCTTCGATCTTTCCTCCGGCCACTCCCTCAGACCGGCTTATTCCAGCCCGGTTCTGTTTTGCGAGAGGCTGTCACCTCTGGTGGAGAAGAAGGGCAAAGCAGACGTAGCTGGGCTGCGTTTGCTCAGGGTTCCCGGTTTTGGCTGAGCCTATCCAGCTCTTTAGTCTTAAGAATTAGAGTTCTGCGCTTTATGGAGTGTTGGAGAAGCTCATATTACAGGAAGGGAAAAGAAGGAAGCAGGAGTTATCCTGCCGCCCTATGTCTTTGTGTTGTTTCTCCACTGATACAGTTGGTCCCCAGGGAAAAAAACAATACCCGACTGAATTTTAGTGGCAGATCAGTCAACAGAATAAAATTTACAACTGTGGGAAAACTGCATGTAGAAGTTATTATTCCACCGCCCCCCCCCGCCTCCAAAACAACTCCGTAGTGACTGGTCATATTCAAAACTGTAGTACTGATCCAAAAAACATAGGGTGGAAATAACTATCACAAAAATAAAATTGATAACGTTTAAAGCAGCAAACTGTAATGTTACTGTTAACGTGTATAGAGGAAAACTTTTTCCTATAAGTTGATTTAAAAAAATGTTGACCACATTTTGGTTTATAAAATTTGACCCGAGAAAACGGCTTAGTAGTAATGATCACAAAAGAAAGCTCCGCAAGCTGATGCTATCAACTGTAATACGAATCAAACCCCACTTGTAGAAGTTTAAGCGAAATCTCTCAAAATAGTTTCATTAAAATGGAAATGGAAAAAAAAAAATGTAGACCCGACTGCAACCTTGAAAGCTGATTAAGTAATTAGTAATGGGGTTCATCCTGAAAGATAACTAAAATTCCTCCATGTGATTCTGATTCCTACTTAAATACTTGTATTCATAAAGCTCTAGTCCAAATATGTTGAATGTGAAAACAGATCCCCTAAGGTTTAGAATGAAGTTTTGATGCGCTACCTAAACTCACGCTGTCTGTCTCCCAAATCAGCACTATTAGACCTTTTCCTTTAGTGACTCTAAAGCGCGGTTGGCCTACTTAAAATTCCTTGCTATTAGATTCTGGTCTTTAAAAAAAAAGAAAAGCCAGGTGTAAGCATCTTGAAGTTTCCAGAGATAGCTACTATTCTGCTGATTTTCTACCACAGACATCCAAAATTTAATGGATTCCACACCTTGAGGAGATGCCCACAGGGCAGATGGGGCATACATTTAGAGGGATTTTTTTTTTTTTTGGAGGGGGGAGGGGGTCTGGTGAGGATACAACTCCATTGTGGAATGGGAGATGGGATGGGATGGAGGCAGACACGGTGTGCATGGAATGGACTAGATTAGGGATTTCCAAAGGTCGGTGTAGGGACAAGGGCAAGTCTAACAGTTTTCCATAAAGATATTAGGAACATAAGAGCAGTATAACGCATTTTTCTTTGATTTTATTTAATTTCAAGTTGTACTTTATTCTTAGATATTTGTCTTCCTACACATGTCATTAAAGTGCCCTGTTAGGTGCCTGGATGGCTCAGTTGGTTAAGCATCTGGCTTCGGTTCAGGTCGTGATCTCACCATTCATGGGTTTGAGCCCCACATCAGGCTCTGTGCTGACAGCTCAGAGCCTGGAGCCTGCTTGTGTCTCCCTCTCTGCCCCTCCTCAGGTTGCGCTCTGTCTCTCTCTTTCTCAAAGACAAATAAACATTAAAAATAAATTTTAAAAAAGTGAAGTGTCCTGGGGCGCCTGGGTGGCGCAGTCGGTTAAGCGTCCGACTTCAGCCAGGTCACGATCTCGCGGTCCGTGGGTTCGAGCCCCGCGTCAGGCTCTGGGCTGACGGCTCAGAGCCTGGAGCCTGCTTCGAATTCTGTGTCTCCCTCTCTCTCTGCCCCTCCCCCGTTCATGCTCTGTCTCTCTCTATCCCAAAAATAAATAAACGTTGAAAAAAAATTAAAAAAAAAAAAAAAGTGAAGTGTCCTTTTATAGGAGCACCTGGCTGGCTCAGTCATAAGAGCATGCAACTCTTGATCTTGAGGTGGTGAGTTTGAGCCCCACATGGGGTGTAAATAGATAAAATGAATAAAACATTAAGAAAAAAAAAAAAGCTAACAGTTTTTAAAAAATAAAGTGACCTTTTATAAAATGGCCCTAATAGGGGATGGTTGTTTTGTTCTTTTGTTCATACCCTTACTTATCAAAGTTAAAAGTCGACCTGTTTATGCTTGCCCTCCTTTTTTGTTGTTGCTATTTCTTTTGAATTTTTATAGGCTTTCAAAATCAAACACTCTAGTACTCACTAGTCCAAATGACTTTTAGACGACCTTCCAACTCTGAGATGTGATGATGATTTTATGTATATATTTGGTGAGCCTCCTGATTTGTCTCCTGCCTGTCATAGTCACTATTCCAGCACTGACGATTTCCAGCAAAATGCTCTAAAATGCCATATGAGTAGCTGTAGCCTTTTCAAATGTGATTTCAGTTGATTCCATCTAAAGATTTAAATGTGTCAGATTTAAGAAGGCAAAAGCTGGGGAGGGGGTGTTTAATGTAGAAAATAAAAGTTTTTAGGTGTTGGCTATGACTCAGCCTTTTCCTTAAAATCATGCATCATTTGTGGTAATTTTCAACCTCAGCAATTGAAGAATTACCTGTTTTTAGTGCTACTATTAGAGTTACAAATCATTCTGTACTTACTGAATCAGCAGCAGCTCTGGTATAATGGAGGGAGACTTCCAAAATGTGCCAAAATGCAATTCCTGGATCACATGAATTCACTAAAAATACAACGAAAAATATAGACTAAAAAAAAATTTGAGAGCTTCAGAGAAATTTAGAGATCATCTAGTTCAGTAATCATATTGTTAAATGCTTTGCCATGGACTGTAGCTTCACACCTATCACTTGTGTCGCACTAGGACAAAAGTGGCTTGTCCAAGATCACACAGCTCTCAATGGCAAAGAAAGCACTAGAACCCGAACGTCTAACCAAAGGAAAGAGAAAAAGGAGGGGTAGAATGAAAATTGGAACAGTTATGCCCCAGTGATTACTTTTATGTTCATGGGTCAAGATGAATTGAAAACCTTTTTTTGTAAAGCCCCAGTGTTTACCCAAGGAAAGGGCACTGGTAACCAGAGTGCATTTTGAGTAAAATGTTAAAGACAAGCACAACAATTATAGATGGATGTCGTAGGGAGGAAATTAAAAACAAGAGTGGTCTGCCTATCTCCGGGGTGTTTGGTACAAAGAAACAGAAAAAAAAAAAAAAAAAAAGAAATGTCTTAGAAGACGTCAAACACTGTCTCAGGTGTTGTTTAACTGTTAAACTGCCTTGTGCACAATCAGTATCAGATGAGTAGTGGAGTGATTGAAAAAGAGACCATCAGAAACGTCCTGTTGGGTCAGAGTGATAATCCATTTAGTCTCTTTTCCACTCTTTGACAGTGACAGCAATTTCTGTGTCCCTTTCTTATCTCAGGTCCCGTTTCCCCCCTCTGCATTGTTCAGGAGGCTTTGTAAAAATGGATTGCTGCTTCTATGGTAGCTACTTCAAACACATTTGACACATTCTTATCGTGAACATTTCTTACTTTCTATGGAGTCATTAGCCATAATTTCAATTAATTTCATTCTTTGAGCTCATTTATGCTTTTGACCCATATGGCTTCAAGATTCTGAAGATTGATAAGTTCCTATGTACGCTACCCAATGACTTTTTAATAATCATATACACCTATGTAAGTATTTTTGTTTGTTTATTTTTGAGAGAGAGGGAGAGACAGAGCATGAGCAGGGGAGGGGCAGAGAGAGGGGGAGACACGGAATCCAAAGCAGGCTCCAGGCTCTGAGCTGTCAGCACAGAGCCCGACGAGGGACTCGAACTCACGAACTGCGAGATCATGCCCTGAGCCGAAGTCGGACGCTCAGCCGACTGAGTCACCCAGGCGCCCCTAATCACATACACCTATAAATGTTCACTGTTCTTCTTCTTATGTCAATTTTATTTGAAAATTTTAGAAAATTTAGATAAATCAGAAAAAAAAGAAAACAAAAATCTCTTAAGAGACAATCACCAAATGTTAACATGTTGCTGTGTATAAATGTCCAGTCTTTTTCTCTGCATATTGTGTGTTTGTGTGTGTGTGTGTGTTAGGTGTATGTATAGCTATTAAATATGTGCATATATACGTATATTTAATTTTATTTTTTTGTAAATTTTATCTCTTAATATTTACAAGTAACCATAGTGCACATTCAGTTTTGACACCTATTTTTTTTCACTTCATAATTTATTGGAGACATGTTTCCTGAGGTTAAAAAGAAAACCACAGGCCCAAAGTAGCCTCACTTGAGTTAAGGCCCCAAGTCAGTAGACCAGGGCTTAATACCTAATCTAATTGTAGTTTCAACCTCCCTCAGAAATGTAAGTCTTAACCCGTCAGTCAGGAATTTTCTGATAAGCGCCAATGAGATCATCTGTCTCTTGGACCTCCTCTACCTCCCAAAGGAAGATGAGGTAATCTGTATAATAAGACCCCTTGCCCTTCTCCCTCGGGGAAGGTGATGTTCGTGGAGACAGTCCTTTCCTTGCTTTTGCTTATAATTTTCTTGCCCCACCCTCCTTCCTATAAAAAACTTCCGTTTTGTACAACTCCTCAGAGCTGCCCTCTACTT